CCTCAGCGTACCGAGTAGCTGGGACTACAGGCGCCCACCACCTCGCCCGGCTAGTTTTTTGTATTTTTAGTAGAGACGGGGTTTCACCATTCACAGGATGGTCTCGATCTCCTGACCTTGTGATCCGCCTGCCTCGGCCTCCCAAAGTGCTGGGATTACAGGCGTGAGCCACCGCGCCCGGCCAGTTTTTATTCATTCACTTTTTTTTAATTTACTTAATAGCTGATCCATTTAACAAATATGAAGTTACTGTCCCATGCCTAGCCCTATGGGCACCAAGCCCTATAGGGTACAGCCCACCACTAGCACAGCGGGCACAAGTGTATTAGCTGGAAAGGGGAAGGTGATGGCGAGTGCTGTGTCCTCTCTGCTGGATCCTGTGCCGTGAACCTCGGTGCCAGCACAGGTGTCTTGTCCACATTCAAGGGACACTGGGTGACAGCATTGTGTGACATGGTCAGTGAGCTACCGCAGCCCTACAGCTGCTGAGAGATAGGGCATCTAAATCAGACTGGAGGAAGAGGGAAGACGAATCAAGAAAAGTCTTCCAAGAGGAGGTAACACAGATACTTTCAGGAATACATACACTATACAAGACACACTCACACAGAAAAACTGACCCAAAACAATCCTCGAGTTGGGCAGAGGCTACCCTAGTGAGCTGAGAAAGAGGAAGGACGGGAAAACAGCTATTTATAGTAAGTAATCAAACTTCATAAAATTATAACTTCAGAGATCAAGAAACACTTCGAAAAGTTAATCTTCTAAAAGTTCATTTTACCTTTGGGATTTTTGCTCCTAAGTCTTGATACTGCTTTGGGTTTTTCAAGAAATTCACAAATTCCATGATCTCCAGCTTGGCCTCCTCACAGCCAGCCACATCTTTGAACTTCACATCAATTTCATCCTTTAAGACCTTGGCAGTGGTTTCTCCGACACTGAAGAGTCCACCCATCCCTCGGCCTGTCCGGCCGATGCCAGCAGGCCCTCTTCTGATGGTGTAGAGCAAGAAGGCGATGATGAGCACTGTGGGCAGCATGCTCAGCAGAAAAGAGCTGGGGACACACAGCGCAACATGGGTTAGGACTGGCTGCTCACCTCCAGCTTTCACATGTGGTGCAAGGTATCAATATAAACATACATAGCTACATCAAGGTATACCTTCCGCACTTAATACAAATGAGGGTAACTTGCAAGTGTTCTTCAAAGGCAACAGAATTCCCAAATAAGTTCCATGGCAACCAACTCTTGAAATAAATGGAGCATCTGCCCAGACTTTAAGTGGGGTAACTAGCATGGTCTTATTAAAGACAACCCCCAAAGAAGAAGTTCTGATGAGAGAAGAATCACCTAAAAATCCTGGAAAACTCTGTGAAATATAAACATAAATGACAGTTCAAAGATGGGAATGCCATTCTTTGATACAAAGGAGTTATTTACGCTAAAATCCTTCCAAAGGTCAATTCATTGAATGTTAATACCCCAAACCGCTGCTTAATCAAGATAAGTATAGATGTGTAGAAAATGAATGAATCAAAAAAAATAAAAATAAAAATAAAAATAAAAAGCCAGGTGTGGTGGCTCACGCCTGTAATCCCAGCACTTTGGGAGGCTGAGACGGGTGGATCACCTGAAGTCAGGAGTTCGAGACCAGCCTGGCCAACATGGTGAATCCCTGTCTCTACTAGAAACACAAAAATTAGCTGGGCATGGTGGCAGGGGCCTATAAGCCCAGCTACTCAGGAGCCTTAGGCAGGAGAACTGCTTGAACCGGGGTGGGGGCAAAGGTTGCAGTGAGTCAAGATCACACCACTATACTCCAGCCTGGGCGAGAGAGCGAAACTCCATCTCAAAAAAAAAAGAAAATGAATAAGTCATGTGCAAAAACTAGTGAGTTACTAATAGCTTTTTTAAAATCTGGCCAAACTGAGAAAGGCCTGTTTGAGAATATAATGTGTAGCCCTGTACCCAGGGACAGAACACAGTGAACCATAGCAGCACAGTAAACAGTCTCCAAAATATTATCTTTGAGATTACCCATCACTTTCAGCAATGTAGACAACAGGTACCCGATTTTCTCCTTCTATGCCCAGTTCCTGCTGTAAAGTTTCCAGATTCCGTTCAAAGGTGTCCACACTGCCAATATTAAACCAAACGTATTGCTATAAAAACAAAAAAACAAATACCCTAAGAATAAAGTGAAACTAAAAGGTTCAATTCACTAAAGGGTTCAACTTTTTAAGAATTTTTCAGAAATACTGAAAATTTATAAAAAAAAAAAACAGTAATAAAAAATTTGGCTTTAATAATGTGGTGATTAAACATCACTCACTGAGAACACTTGGCAATTCTTGGCAAATAAGCATTTCCTTAGCAGCAATATCTCAGTGGCTCTAAAATTATAAACTTGAAAAACCTATTTGAAAACATAATCCTTTTTAAAATAAATACGCATTATTTTCCTCTTCCTCCATTCCCTAGGTATTTTATTTTAGCTCCCTATTCCCAAATTTAAAACTACTGTGAAACAGTGATAAGAACTAAAGTTTACTGGGTGTGTACTAAGTGCCAAGCATTGTTCTGGGCTCTTTAGATGCATTAGTTCATTCAATCCTGAGGACTATCCAAAGAAGCAGGTGCCATCACTGAGGACGATGTTCAAAATCCGAACACCACACCCCCACTGTGCAACTGGAACAGATGTGCCTTGCTGTGCCAGGTACTCCCTCTTTATTCCCTGGAGCTGCAGAGACCCAGAGGGCCCAGCACAGCGATGCCTGAGGGGCCAGGTCAAGGCTATTCTACCAACCAGCATGTAATTATTTCCTATTGTACTGAGTGAATGTGAGCCCTGACTCCTGCTCCCATTCTACAGATGAGAAAACTTGCTCATGGTCACACACAAAATAAGCGGCTGGGATATGAACCCAGACAGTCTGGCTCCTGAATCAGTGTCCTAACCACAACGCCACATTGCCTCTGCACAACCATGAGGACACTGATGTTAACAGCTCACATTTATGGAGTTTACTAGCTAGAAGACCCCATTTCAAGCACTGCGCATGTATTAGCTCCATTTTATAGGACAAAAAATGTTTCTCCTTTAACCTGCAATCATCTTTTTTAAAAAAAGTATTTTTAAAATCAAAACAGTAAGTCTATGATATAAAATTCATTAGAGAGGCTGGGCACAGTGGCCAGTAATCCCAGCACTTTGGGAGGCCCAGGCGGCAGATCACCTGAGGTGAGGAGTTCGAGACCAGCCTGATCACCATAGCCTCAGACGGTCTCTACTAAAAACACAAAAATTAGCTAGGCATGGTGGCATCCGCCTATAGGCCCAGCTACTTGGGAGGCTTGAACCTGGGAGGCACAGGTTGCAGTGAGCCAAGACTGTGCCACTACATTCCAGCTTGGGCGACAGAGTGAGACTCCATTTCAAAACAAAAAACAAGGCCGGGCATGGTGACTCACGCCTGTAATCCCAAGCCTTTGGGAGACCAAGGCGGGTGGATCACGATGTCAGGAGTTCAAGACCAGCTTGGCCAAGATGGTGAAATCCTGTCTCTACTAAAAATACAAAAAATTAGCCAGGCATGGTGGCAGGCACCTGTAATCCCAGCTACTCGGGAAGCTGAGGCAGAGAACTGCTTGAACCCTGGAGGCCGAGGTTGCAGTGAGCCCAGATCGCGCCACTGCACTCTAGCCTGGGCGACAAAGTGAGACTCCGTCTCAAAAAACAAACAAAAAAGCAAAACCCTCATAAGAGAGCAACATGTCATCACATATCCTTCCCACTAGTGTTACTGAGTGAGGAACATTGCTGTGGTATTTCTCTCCAAGAATCTAAAAATAAAAGATGAAGAGTAAGTTTTATATTACGTAACAACATAATATTATTTGGTAAATTATTCACTAACAAAGATACAAAATTCACATGGTTACAAAGCCCCAAAACCTGCTCAGAATAGATTAACCACAAAGGATGTAACATTCCCTAATTCAGCCCCTGCTATCAACTGGGCAATAGGCCAAATGCCTGGCTCCCATCACGGAAGCAGTGTGAACCCAGGACCAGCAGCAGGGTACCACCCAGGAGCATGTCAGAAATGCAGATTCTCAGAACACAATCCAGATAAGAACCTCTGCGGGGGTGGGGTCCCAGGACTCAAGTTTTAATAGCTTTCCAGGTAATTCTTATGCACACTAAAATTTGAAAACCACCACTGACTGACCCTATCTCATTTAAGCACTAAGCCCTTCTCTACTGTCATATAGAAGGTAAGCCATCTACCAGTCAAGAGTAGAACTGATGTGAGGCTAAAGCCTGTGTGTGTGCAGCACTGCTGCTCCATTCACAGCAGGACACTGAAAATCTGTTTCTGAAAGCTCAAAACAAGAAGTCTTTAGTAAGCAGGTAATATACATTCTCTGTAAAAACTCGGGATATGCACGTAAAGAAAGCAAAGACATCCATAACCCCAACATTCAGACACAAACAGCATCAGCATTTCAGGCCTGTGCCTCAAGACTGTATAATACCACCTTTACAATCTTGAAATACAATTTTGAAAAGAAATAAACATAAACCTTAACTGTAATATAAAAGAGAAATACAAAGAAAGCACTTTATATACAACGGTATGAATTTCAACACACAAATGCTCGTGCCAACGCTGGAAAACAAGTTCCCGCCAATGTCAAAATTGCCCCTAGGGACAGCCCTGCCCCCAAGGACAACTGCTCACATGGAAACAGACACGGAACAAGGATTCCCTGTTAACCCGGTGCCTGGCATGGGCCTCTGGGTTATTTCTCATTTTTTGCTACGTATAGACAATGCGTGAGAGGACGTCCTTGCAGAGACATCTCACACACATCCCTACATTCTCCCTAGGCTCCCTTCCTAGAAGCAGACGGATGCGTGTGTGCGTGCTTCCCACAGTGCTAGAACACACATTGCCCACTGGCCTCATAACAAAGTGCCAACTTAAATCCCAACACTGAAGTCTGAAGATAAAGCATGGTTATTAATAGGTGTTGCATAAGTAGGTAGAGAGAACGGGGGAAATTAAGACAATTAAAATGCCTTTCCTCAACACAGGGCAATACCAGAGTCCTATGACTTCACAGATACTCTGCTATTTGCTGACACGCTACTAAACAGAGAGATATGGTCACCATCACTTCTAGTTGTCCTTAAAAGTTGCCCTGTCCAGGCGGGATGGCTAGAAAATGGTTAAACGCAATTATCCTAAGAGAGTTTGGCAAGTCCTGGGAGCCTCAGCTTTACCTCTCTCCCCTCCCTCCAGAATTCCCTCAATGCATTCAGCTTGCTCTGGGGTCTCTGGAAGTATACTCCAGACTGGTTGGAGAGGAAATACAAATTATTTTTAAAACAGGAAATCAAATAGAAATTAAAATAATATCACAAAATGGTTAGGAGATGGTGGGGATGCTTTTAAACTAATTTGACAAAAGCTGTCTCAAAACACAGGCAATTGAGATTTTAAATTTTTTTCCTAATCAAGTAACTACTTCTCAGTCTTGAAAAGTTAAAAGACTATTCTGGAATACTGAAAACCGGGATTTCACTGTCTCCTAAATGTAGTCAAAATGATTAACAGAAACAAAACAAAACACTGACCCAATCCCTGTATCACTAATCCATACACAACATTCCCATTTCCACTGTTAATGAGATCACCCCTGCCACACTGCCCAGTTCTGATAGATCTGGTGCGTATAACTCGTACCTGAGGCAGGTTTTCCTTTCAGCTTTAAATCTGGAAAGTTAATTTACAACTAATTCACATCAATTAATAAAATGATTTACCCCATCAACAGGAGTTTTTCCTGGTGTAAAGGTCACTCGAACAAAACGCTTGTTGACGACTTCCAGTCTGTCTACCTAGAATTTTAAAAATAAGTTCACACATAAATTCACAGAAAATACCTGAGATACTCTTAAGCTCATTTAAAATGCATATGATGTTTCAGCCATACAAGGAAACAATAAAGAATCAGATAAGGATGCCCCTACATTCCCACCTCTAATTCTGCGGAAGATCCCAGGCACGGCCCCTCCCAAAGGGGACTATGCTCTCACTTAGGGGCTGCACTGCCCAAACCACATCCTTACACTTGCACTACACATGAAGGTAACCCTACACGATATGCACATTCCCTTCTGTCTGTTTTTAAACTTTAAAAATGGTCTTGTTTTATATATAACTATCCTTCTACAACTTTCTTTTTCCCTTCAACATTGCATTTGTGAGGTTTATGCAAACTGACACTTCTGTGCTGCGGGGTATGCCATGCTATGACCACACCCAAGTTACTGATCCATCCTCCTGTTAATAGACAGCTAGGCTGTTACACATTTCTCACAAGCAATGCTGTCATGAACATTCCCATATCTACCTTTGTGGGCACATCTTAAAAAATTTTTCCAGGAAACATACCTGTAGATAGACACACTAATGCTAGGTTGCAGGGTATACATACCTTCAACTTTACCAGATATTGCCAAATTGCTCTCCAAAATGGCTCCTGAATTCACACTGCCATGAGCAAAATATTACTATTGCTCTGTAGGACACAGACTATTCCTCTATAGGACATAGACTATTGCTCTATAGGACATAGACTATTGCTCTATAGGACACACCAACATTTGGTAGTATAAGACTTCTTAATTTTTGTCACTCTATAAATATAAAATAGTTTCAGTTTTTTTTTAATTGAATCACCTAATTATATAGCATCCTTTTTAAATTTTTTTTAGACAGGATCTCACTCAGGTTGGAGTGTAGTGGTGCAATCATAGCTCACTGCAGCCTCAACCTCTCTGGGAACAAGAGATCTTCCCACCTCAGCTTCCTGAGTAGCTGGGACCAAGAGTGCAAACCACCACCAGTGGCCAATTTTTTTATATTTCTTTGTAGAGATGGGGTCTCCCTACATTCCCCAGGCTGGTCTCAAACTTCTAGATTCAAGTGATCCTCCCACCTCAGCCTCCCAAAGTGCAGGGATTACAGGTAGGAGCCACCACGGCCAGCCTACATAGGATTCTTAATAACACTGTTAAACACCACACCCCAAGGACTGTAGCTGATTTAGGAGCACGCGTACTCTGGGATGTGCTTATTTCCCACTGCTTGCTTTGTCAGTAAGTCTGGAAGGCAAGAATGACGAAAAGCAAGGGAGCCCCAGAACAATCCCAGAGGGGCTGGAATTGGGGAGTGACTGTTCTTAAAGGCAGTCTCTGTCAGACAGGAATGACTGGCACTGCTCCATCCCACAGACATCTGATGGGAAGACAGCAGGCTAACGCCAAAGAGCCAGAGGGTCAGGAGGAGCTGGAACTATGTAGAAGCCACCTCGAGAACCTGCCATCCCAATCCGAAGGACGGCTGCAGCCCAGTCCACATGCGATGACCACTGCTTCTGAGCAGCTTCTGAGTGAGAGTCCCCACTACATGTGAGAATTACACATAAAAGATCCTCACTTTCATGAGATAAACACGTTTCAAAAATCCGACTAGAAAAGAGGACTCTGGGAAGATGGTGGCATAGGAAGCACCAGGAACCCATCTCCCTACACACAGGACAATGGTACAGGCAGCATCTGTCCAATGTAAGCATTTTGGAACTCTGGAGTCCACTGAAGGTTTGCAACTTCCAGGTGAAACATAAACTGAAGTTAATCTCAGTCAACTTCAGCTCTGAGCACAGCGGCAGCTGCCCATCTGAGTAGATCACCATTTCTTACATCCCTACCTTCCTGTACAACCTTTAGAACGCATTTCAGTTCTTTACACTACCTCAGTAAGTATTAATGTCGTCTTACTTTATCCGTTTCACGGACGAAAACCCAAGTATTAAGAGGTTAAGGGGTTTCCCCAAGGCTACAGAGCAGGCCTAATCCTGGTGTCTATCACTATACTGCATCAATTCTAAGACACACATTTTTCATATTTTAACATCAGAAATGCAGATCCATTTTATAATTGATAGCATGTCATAATTTCATCAGCATCTTATTAGATTTGTCTTAGCAACTTATAAAATACCATGTGTCTTACAATCAATAGCATCTTAAATATGCTGAAATATGGTCTTACTTATCTCCCATTGGTTGTAGTGAATATAGTCACACATGGGCAAGCCCAGCAAGCAGTAACAAAGGCTGCTCCGCAGACAGAGAAATGGCAGGGGCCACATGCCCACCTGGCCCGCCCTTAGAGCCCCATCTGCTCTGACTTGACACACTCTGATTAGCTGCCAAGCCTGCAGGTGACTAAACGTAGTAAAGACCCACAAAGAACCCAAAGAGGCTGGCACACGACAGCACAGAGCAGAGGCAGCTGAGGGCACGAGAGAAAAGCGTGCAAGCAGAGGACTGCCAAGACCATGGTCAGAGCAGTGGTGCCAAAACCCAGTTCTGGGAGATAGTGAAATAAAAGAATTTGGGGGTAAATGTGAGGACACCAGGTCAAAACACGGGTTCTCTGATTGCAGTACTTCTCAGCATTAGAAAAATCTCAGGGAAAATAACAATTTTACAATGGACGAGTCAGGTTAACCTGCTGTCACTTCTTTCATCTAATCTGATTAATTTCACCTTTGAACCACAACAGCCACCAATGCCATAAAATACTTACTACTCCTTTTGAAAGATAGTTATTGACAAAGTCCTTCCAAGTGATTTCTCTCCCGGATCTCTTGAGCAGGAAGTAAAACATGACTCCACCCCAGAACAGAGAAGTCCAGAGGAAGAACATCCTGAAATCCTTGTCATCCCATGGAAAGTCACCCTGGGCAGAGAAGGAGACAGCTTCTGTGAAGAACTAAATTCCACAATACGATCTATGCTCTGTGAGACACAAATCCCTCCAACACTACTAATGCCTCCCAACCTTCTCTGGGCCACTATCGTAACCTCAAAATTCACACAATGTATAGCATCAAACCTTCTGGAACCTGGACCACCAGTGGGAATCATCTTTCTTGCCACCTCGTTTTCCACCACCACCACCTCCTCCTCCTCCAGAAGAGCGTGTGGTAGCAGCTGGCTTTGACTCTGTTCCTAAACGAAGAGCACACATAGAAGCACGGCAAGGTTTTGGCTCTCTCAGCAATGTCTTCATGTAAACCGTTTAATAAAACTTATTGCAGACTACACTGTGGCAAGTGATCAGTCACTAAGTGAAGCACTATGAGAAGGATACAAATACAAAGCCTACCAATCAGGGAGGCTCCCAAGGGCTATACTTGCATCATCTCATGAAACATGCACAATAACCCAATAACCCAAGAAATTATAGGACTGTTATACTGTTCACAGAGGGAGAAAGAATAGCTTAAGTAACTTGTTGGATAATGGGTGGCAGTGTTAGGGGACAGTGAATAAGTCACAGAGTTGGGATGCAAATTCCTCAGTCCTCACTCAAAGTTTGAAAGTGTGTTCTGGCCAGGCATTGTGGCTGACGCCTGTAATACCAGAATTTTGGGGGGCCAAAGCAGGAGAATCCCTTGAGCCCAGGAGTTCAAGACCAGACTGAGCAACAAAGCAAGACCCTGCCTCTGGCCAGATGTGGTGGCTCATGCCTGTAATCCCAGCAATTTGGGAGGCCGA